CAAATGCTGGCGAGGCTGTGGAGAAATAGGAACCCTTCTCCACTGCTGGTGGGAATGCAGACTGGTGAAACCACTGTGGAAATCAGTTTGGAGATTCCTCGGAAAACTAGGTTTAGAGGTCTCATTCAACCCAGCTATTCCCCTTCTTGGTATCTTCCCAGAAGAATTAAAAACATTATGCCACAGCGATATATATACACTCATATTTATAGCAGTACAATTTGTGGGTTTTTTTCCTTTTTTAAATTAGGTGTCTATAAACAAGAAAGCATACATTAATTACATAAAAATAGCTCTCACATAGCAGAGTAAGCCGTCGTATTGTCACTAGCAGCAGCAGTGACACGGCAGGGGCAGAGGCTCTGGAGCATGTAAAGGTTCAAAATGGGGTTTTCCCTTTAACTGAAAAATATCCCTTGAGACTCCTGACGTAAAGCAAGAGGTGCCCCTCAGCCCAGAGTGCGGGGGGAGGGAGCAGAGGTCAAGGCCGGGCTGTGAAAGGGCTGGGGCTCAGCCGAGGGAGGAGACGCCACCAGGACCCCTGCAGGCCACTCCATCCCGCCGGCAGGTGAGCGATTTTCTTCCTCAGTTAAAAACAGCCCAGACAACTGGGATGTGAGAAAAGAGAAGGGAAAGAAGGAGAAATTTTGTATGTAGGTACACACAGGATAGTTAACATAGCTGATCTACTGTCTTCTATTTCTTTGCTAAAGCTGTCAATGAGTCCTTGATTAATCAATATTGCATGTCTCTATTTGTTTTCATGAGAAACCACTTTAAAGATATCAATACATAATACAACAATCATTGTTAATTTCCTACCACTTTATTTGTAACATTGTATTGTCTGTACTGTTCTTTTGCTATTTTGTAAAATGTTGTCTGTCTGTTAATGTTTTCCTCCTTTTATTTTTAAGATAAAAAAAAGCCCAGAAAACAAGACAACTACCAAGTAAGAAAGTTTCTGCAAAAGGAGCCACCATATACATGTATAATACAACGAAGTAAAATGAAAGAAAGTATTTACATGTTAGTGGTTTTTGCATTGGCTACTTCTGTACAGAAAGCAGGGAGTCATGTACAAGTTAGCTGCTCCACAGATGTGAATGTTATTGCTGTTGTTTTTATCCTTCCTTAAAATCTTCTTTCATGATAGAAATAATGAGTACTTAAGCTGAATACACAACCACTGTGATAATGAGTGGGGGCTCTCCTCCCTCCAGAACTTGCACAGGCAGAGGTAGCCCTGGGGATGCCCCAGCCCATGGTCACCCTACATCAGAGTGGCTGAGATGACCCAGCACCCTATAGCAGTACAATTTGTAATAGGTACATCTTGGAAACAACCCAAATGCCCATTGACCAAGGAATGGATTTCTTAAATGTAGTATTTTTATACAATGGAATACTACTGAGCCATTAAAAAGGATAAACTTGAAACTTTCATAGGTAAAAGGATGCAACTTGAGACCATACTCAGTGAAATAAACTAGACTCACACGCATAAACATCTATTGTCTCCTCGGTGTGAGAAACTGAAATTATAAACAAGGTATAGAATATACAGCATATATTGTGAAATGGGAAGTAATTGTTTAGAAGGAAAAAGGAACTAGGAGAGGGGGAAGGAGAAAGGAAGGGAAAAGGGAGAAAAATGAAAGTAGCTACACTATTAGTGTCTCTTATTTCACTAAAATGGAAGATTTAGGCAAATATTGATGGAGAATATTTCTGCCCATATTTGTACTCGGAGTAACTACTTTGAAGATGACAATATGCAATGCATTAACTATTATCCAAGCTTCGAAGAACATACAAGCATCAAAGACAGCACTCTGTTCTCTTTATTCATTCTTCATATTTCAGGCTTTTCTCCTCTTATTTTTGCCCTCTCCCTTAGGCTCATCCCAACTTCCAGCCACACCTTGGCCCCTCTTTTCCCGCCTGTCACTTGCTGTGCCTTGGCGCAGAACCCAGCCTTAGCGGGGCAGGAAGCTCATGGTATAGTTTCTAGGGATGGTGGAAAAGCCCACAAACTGGGGAGACACATCGATGTCCCGAGGCATCTGCTGGGACCTGAAGCGGAAGTTCTGCATGATGGTGGTGAGGAAGAGAAAGAGCTCCATTCTAGCCAGGCCTTCTCCAAAGCAGTACCGCTTTCCTGCAGAGGAGAAGAGGGATGGGTACAAATGAAGTCAGCTCTCACTAATGACTTGCCCCCTGCAGACATTCACTTTTGTTCTCTCGAGTAGATGGGCCTGAAATCTGTGGCCTGAGACATCTTGACAGAAGCAGCTGATCCTCTCTGAGCCTCAGTTGTTCCTGAACAGGCGGTAGGTTCACTGATACCAGAATTAGTAATGGGAAGTTCAGATACCCCCTTCCTAACACGTTCTCACACATAGCTGCTGTGTTGATCTCTCCTGTCTAGGAGACTGAGGAATATTTTGTGTTTTCCTGTAAAGATCTCAGACTCAGTCATGACTTCTTCATCTCTGAAAGAGGTTTGGACTTCCCTTTGGTCTGCATACAGATACTTGGTGCTCAGTATTTCTAGAGATTGCAATTAGGTGGCTGAAGGGTAGATGGGAGAGGAACCCCAAGCTGGAGAAGACTGCTAGGTTCCACCTCAGAGAGGGAAGTCAGAAGGAGTTGTCCCTGTTGGTGTGCAACAGTGGTGTCTTACCAATGGAAAAAGGCATGAAAGCATCACTCTTCTTAAACTGCCCCTTTTCATCCAGGAAATGTTGGGGGTTGAAATCACCAGGGTTGGAGAAGAACTTGGGGTCTCTCAGCACAGACCCCAGGATAGGAAACACTTCAGTGCCCTGTCAGTGAGAGGAATGGGGACTTGATAAAACAGGTTGAGGGATGAATGTTCAGAAAGCCCAAGGACTTTACAGGGGAGAATAAGAGTGCCCCAGGTAAAGAGAATAGGAAAGTAGAGAAATTGGAGTCTTCTGACACAGGACATGTGGGGAGATGAGGTATCGTGTTTTATGGAAGGTGAAGTTTGAGAGACCCATGGCATGAGACCGGGGATGTGCAACACATGTTTGAAGGTGGGAGGTTGGAACAACTTGGACATTCGTGATGGCTAAGAGAGAAATTTTGTAATAATTGGTGCTTATATCTCCCTAGACAGGCCGACCTGGGGAGAAGATTCCTGTACCCAAGGAACAAGTTCTAGGGGGAAAGATTTTATGTCCTTTGAGACAGGCCATTTGTGGGACATGGTGTCAAGTTCCCTGTCAGAAAAAACGTGGGCAAAACACAGGAATCAGAAGTCTCTAAATGGAAAAGCAGAGGGCACACAGAAGTCATGGGGGATTCTGAGTGAGGTAGAGGACAGTAGCTGTAACTGGGGTCCCAGAGAGAGTGTTGGAGGATCCTCTAGCTTATCAGGGTGGCACCTTGGGGATGAGGTAGCCCTGAAACTTGGTGTCCTTGGTGACCCTGTGTGCCACGCCCATGGGGATGATGTCTCCAAATCTTTGAATCTCATGAATCACTGCCTCCGTGTAGGGCATCTTGACCCGGTCTTCGAACTTAGGCTGTCGGTTCCTGCCAATCACTCGATCAATCTCTTCATGGACCTTGGCTGTAGGAGAAGGGGGAAATGTTTAGGTATCCAGTGGCCTCAGAACAGGGATTCTAGTCTGAATATGTTAAGCCCAATGCATGCACATATCCACATATGAGATAGATGTTGACCACAGGAAATAGATTGGCTATAAACTTTGCTGGATTTTGGTCATGTTAACCTGGTCGTGCTAGTTAGGGGAGTCTCAAAGGAGGAGTCTTAAACATTGGTCTGCTGAGGCAGGAAGTGGGACATCTAGGGTTAAGAGGAGCAATTTACAACCAGTTCAGGTAGTAGAAATATACAAACAACTCATGAGACTGGACTGGTGCCGTTCAACTAAATAATCCCTGTGTGTGCACAGCAGGATATGTTTGAAGGTCAAGGGGCATGGGAAAGACAGGGTCCTAGAGGAGGCTAGAGGATCGGTGTCCTCACTTCCCTGCTGCCTCAGCCTTACCCTCCACTTCTGGGTACTTCATGAGCAGCAAAAAACCATAGCGCAGGGTCGTGCTGACAGTCTCTGTGCCCGCAATGAAGAGGTTCAGCGTGGTCATCACCAGGTTCTTCATGAAGAACTCTGAGTTGGGGTTACTTTTCTCCTAAAATTAAAGGACATTTAGACTGTGTCTATCTGCCACTTATTTGTGCAACACTATAGGAATTTTTGCTTTGGATCCACCTATCTTTATGTGAAGACCTAAGGTGACAAGAAGAGCCCTAGATCTACTCTGCTCTCTACAGTTTCCAAGTGTTTACACACTTTGCTGGCTCTGCCTCAGATTCCTTCCTCTGATTCATTGCCTGGCTGGCGATGCATCCCTGAACTAACTTTGTTTTCACTCATTTAATTGTAAGGATGGTTAGAAGAAGAAGTACGGAGACAGACTGTGAGAAAAAAGTGGAGCGGTCAAGATAGCGTGATTCTGACAAAGTAACATCACATTTTTGGGGAGGAAGATGAGAAGGCAGAACAGGGGTTGCCAGCAACTCAGCTTTTTGAGAACAAAGTTCCGCAGTCAAGAGGACAGTGGCTTGTAGAGGAACCCAAATGAGGGAAGGGTACACAGAAACAATAAAAGAACAGACAGAGGAGAAAAAAATAGCATCAAGTGATACAGAACCAGTGGCCCAACACAGCAGAGGAGAACCCATGGCACCACAGACAGCAGCCACTGGCTGCCTCCTGGAAGGCACGTGAAACTAGTAACTTCTCTGCTCATGGAAAAGTGCATCAGGACCAGAAGAATCTTATGCAGCTGAAGACAGTGGGAAGAACACAAGATTCTGCTTCCCCAGTAGCCCGCCAGAGTCAAAAGCTATTGGCTGGCTGCAAGATGATTGCTCCAGGACAAAGTCATGCAGAGGAGGAGCTGGCAGGAACAACATCGTGTGGAAAGCCGGCCATTGGAACCTCAGTCCCAGAGCAGCCCCTTGGTGACTTACACTGCCAAACCCCCAGAGTGGATAAGGGAAGGACAGTCATTGGAGACTGCTGGCAGTTGGAGAGCAGAAGTGGGGGGGACTCCCACTGAGAGGCAGAGACTGATGATCACAGACTCAGTTCCTGCAATCAGGCACCAGTTTCAACCTGAGTTATGCAGAATTGGAAGCTCACACTGGTGCCATGTTCCCACTGCTAAGGGGAGACTTCACTCAAGGTCTATGGTATGTTATTTCTCAAGTAACCCTGATGGTACCACTGTAATGGATTAGGCTGTAAGTGCTGTAGTTGAATCAATTCCACAGGAATAACCCTGTTCAGTGGACAATTTAATGCCAGTGAACTTGTCTGCCGAATCCACCATCACACTCAGGGAGAGGGACAGCAAGAGTTCCTCATCCAGGAACTCAGACTGGGTCAAACTCTGCAAAAACACCTGCAACCTGGCAGAAAGGGTGCACCCTGAGAAAGGGAGCATACCTGAGTCTGAGTTCAGCCCTGTTTTACAGCAGAGGGATCAGAGGAGTAATCGGGGTGTGAACACTCAGACTCTGGCACAGAAGTTACTTGGAAATCACATATGCGGTGTCTCCTTGGACAGCTAATGTGTGCTCTCTTCAGACATCTAATTGGCTACATTTTGGGATGTTTCTTGAGTTATTTAGTAACATGGGGTTATGTTGTTTTATGGTTTTATGTGTATGTTAGGTTGTTATACTTGCATATTTGTTCTTTTACTGGGTCTGATTTAGTAGGTGTCTGGGTTCTCTCCCTCTTCTCAGCTCCTTATCTAGTTTCTTCACCTCAAACCCCTGAGATGATGTTAACATATTTCTTTATTCTTCTTCCAAACATGTAGACTCCAATTGCCAAGTTTTAAAATTGATCATATTTAATCCACTACCTTTGCTCCTATCTTCTCTAGTACTACTCCTTGATCCTCCCCATCCTAAGCCTTTGGCTCTTCCACATCTTACCCAGATTATTGTCCCCTTTATAAGCAAGTTTTGATAACCACATAGCTTTCCTCAGTCACAAAGTGAGCCCCCTTCCCCATATCTCACCTTTGTCCTCACCAAATGTCCTCTGAAAATTCAATACTAAACCCTCAACTCAACTAAGATCCTCCAATAAAATCGGGACCCACACCAATCTTTTCTTCTCATCCACCACAAGTCTCCCTTTCAAACCTCCCCATTAGTGCCTAACAGGACTCACACCACCATCCCCTATTCTCTCCACCCCATCTTATTTACCTCTCTTCAGGGCAACCACAGGTAATAAAAATTCTTAGTGTGCACAGAAGATAGACAAAGAGAGAAGAGTAACTCCAAGAACTATCATATAGAAATGTGGCAAGATTGAATCTGTGGTGCTGTTATAAATAGAGGCACTTCTTTTGGCAAAACAAAGGGACAGAGTCTAAATCACATAAAGGAAATAACACAAGGAGTAGATACTAGCACTGGACATACAAAGCTGAAAATTATTCACCAGGAGACAACATCCTGTGAAGCAGCTCATATGAGCTAAAAAGGCTCCAGTCCCCAACCTGCAGTAACTGCCAATATAATTTTCAAAAGACTGTTATATATATCACAGATTCAAGTAGGAGAGTGGAGAAACAAGAAAACAGAAGATCTGCATACCACCACCACCCCAAACCCTAAGGCAGAACAATGTGGTCACAAAGAAACGAGAAAACAAATACTAGATAGCAGAAATCTATGGAAAGTTCTTAGAAGGCATGTAGAAAATAGGTGAGTTCAAAGAGGAAATGAACCAAAACTTTCTAGCAGTTACACTCAACATGCCCACAATAAATTTTGGGGAAATAGGAAAAAAATTGGATGAGGAAAACAAAACAGATCAAAATTTGAATGAGAAATTCAACGAGGATGTGGGATCCTGGAAAGGTGTCAAACAAAAATACCTGGAATAAAAAATAGTATAGAATTCGTACACTGCAGAAATGAACAATGGAAAGCAGGAGTGCCTGACACTGAGGACAAAATAGTGGATTATGATAAACAGCTCAAAGAAGTAAAAAAGACAATTAAAGAACAACAGAAGGCTACCCAGCATCTACTAGATGACAATAAGAAGACCAATATAAGGCCAATCAGAGTTAGAGAAAATCTAGAGGATTGCACGTGTGGTTTGACCATCATGCTTGCAGAAATTATGAAAGAAACTTTCCTAAATATAGGAAAATGGTTTAAAATACAAGTAAGTGATTCTCATAGAACACTAAGCAATTTTGTTGAAGGAGAAGTTCACAAAGGCACATCCTCAAAAAACTCACAGATATCAAGCAAAAAATTAGAATTTTAAAGGCAACCAGAGAAAGACAATAATTCACATATGAAGGTAAACCAATTAAAATCAGAACAAGGGGCTGGGGATTTAGCTCAGCGGCCAAAGCACCTGCCTGGCATGCACAAGGTCGTGAGTTTGGTTCCCGGTACCGGAGAAAAACAAAAAAATAAAAATAAAATAAAATAAAATCAGAACAGACTTCTAGGCTCAAACTCTGAAAGCCAGAAGTCCTTGGAGTGATATATTTCAAGCTCTAAGAGCCAATAACTCACATTAACCTACCCAGCAAATCTATCCCTCAAAGTACATAGATATAGAAGGTAAATTTTCCCTAAAATCAGGAACAAGTATGACCACTATCACCTCTTCTATTCAACATAGTGCTTGAAACATTAGCCAGAGCAACTACACAAGAAAAAGAAACAAAAAGGATACATATAGGAAGGGAAGAACTCAAATTTTATCACTATTTGCAGATGACATGATACTCTATAGAGAAAATGCCAAGAACTCCACCAAAAAATGCAATTAGTAAGTAACTGCAGCAAAGCAGCAGGATAAAAGATCCATACACAAAAATCATTATTAGCATTTGTATATACCAACAATGTGTATATCATTGTGTATATCAACAATTAATAGGATGGGAAGGAAATTGTGAAAAAAAATATCACTCACAGTAACTTCAAGAAAAAGGAAATATCTAGGAAGTAACCTAACCAAGGAAATGAGAGGCCTCTACAAACAAAACTACAGTCATCTGAAAAAGGACATTGAGAAGGACATCAGAAAATGGAAAGATGTTTCTCACTCCTGGACAGGCAGAACCATTATTGTCAAAATGGCTATAATTCCAAAACTCTTATACAGATTCAGTGCAATCCCAATCAAAATACCAACAGTATAGTTTACAGATCTGGAGAAAACAGTTCTAAAATTCATAGAGAACCAGAAGAAACCAGAATGGCAAAGGTACTTTTGGGCAATAAGACCAAAGCAGGTAGCATAGCAGTATCTGACTTCAAGCTGTTCTACAAAGCAATAATGATCAAAATGGCATGGTAACAGAACAAAAACAGGTACATGAATCAATGAAACTAAATTGAGGATAGAGAAACCTCCCCATACATACTCAACTACTTGATCTTTGACAAAGTGTCCAAAAGCTTATGCTGGAGGAAAGATAGTCTACTCAACAACTGCTGCTGGGAAAACCGTTTATCTGTTTGTAGAAGAATAAAACTGGACCTGTATCTTCAATATACTAAATTAAAATCAAAATGGATCAAAGATCTAAGCATTGAAAAGAAACATTAAACCTTCTGGAAGATAGTAACAGTAAAACACTAGAAAACATAGATGTAGAAAAGGATTTTCTAAACTGAACATCAATCACACAAGAAATAGTAGCAAGGAGCAACAAATGGGATTGTGTCCGGCTAAAAAGATTCTGTACAGCAAAAGAATCAGTGGAGCAGAGAGAGAAGCTACAGAATGGAAAAAAGGATTTGCCAGCTACTTCTCAGAAAGACTAATATCTAAGCTGTACAAAGATGTAAGAAAACAAAAAAAAAACACCCAAAACATAAAATCAAGCCCCCACTAAACTCTGAAAATGAAAGACCTACTCAAGAAATGGGTTAGAGAAATGAAATATAAATGGTCAACAAATATATTAAAAAATGCTCAACACCTCTGGCTACTAGAGAAATACAAATTAAAAGAACACGAAGATTCCATCTTACTCTGCAAAGAATGACAACCCTTAAGACATCAAACAATGACAAATTCTGGTGAGGCTGTGGTGAAAAAGGAACCACCTTGCATTGTTGGTGGAGATGCAGACAAGTATAACCATCATGGAATTCAGTATGGAAATCTCTCAAAGAACGGAATTTAGAAATTCCATATAACCCAGCTATTGCTCTGCTAAGTATCTTCCCCAAATCCTACTACAGTGGTACATGCACATCAATGTTTATAGCAACATGATTTGCATAGCTAAATCCTGGAAGGAGTCTGTACACCTATCAACAGAGGACTTGATAAAGAAAATGTGGTATTTATATAGTATAGCAAAACACAACTTGGTCATAAAGAATGACAAGTTTGAGACATTTGTAGGAAAATGGATGCACCTAGGAAATATAATGTCAAGTAAAATAAACCAGACTCACAAGCTTAAATACCGTATTGTATTTCTCATTTGTGTGAAGCAAAACACAAAGAAATAAAATGATAAAGTATATGGAAAGAAAGGGACAAGGGGACAAATCTCTTGGAATAGGCAAAAGGTCCAAGGGAACAAGGGTGAATGGTAGGGGTAATGAGGGAAAAGGGAAATAAGAGAAATAAAGATGTGCCATGTAAGGAATCTAAAAATACCAATTCATGTAAACACTACATGTCATAAGTTAAGCTCAGAAAAATAATGTCAGCAAGTATAAAAAGGAGGCTAGGGGAACCCAAAGTGGAAGGATAAGGGAGAGGGAAGGGGGAGGGGTTAAAAAAACAGTCTGTGAGATATATATGTAACCAATCTTCAAGATGGTTGTAAACTGCATGAATTGCAAACATGCCCTCGTTAAAATTTTTTAAAAATTAAAAACACATTCTCTGTGATGTTATTAAGTGGGAACGCCTGACTCCCTTTGCTATTTAAGTTCATGTGAAGGAATCCCCTCCCTGATCCATGAAAATTTAGGCTCCATAAATCTCAATATTGATTTCAAATGCTGAGAGACTGACATACAGATGAGGATGGGGATCCCCAATTACCAAACTGTAAAGCTAGATAACTTGTCCCACAAGTGCAACTGATGACAGGGTAAAGATCAGAGAGCATGGTGGCTAACAGCACCAGCCATAGAGTCAGATAGGTGAGCATTGGACTAGTGCCCTCCGCTTACTTACTGTGTGACCCGACAAAAGCCACATAGACTCTCTGAGCATGAATTTCCACATCTGTAAAATTGTGGGTATAATAGCTCACAATTCTATAGCTGTTGTGGCAGGCTCCTATCAGTTGGGACCAAACAGCTGTAGGGGGCTGCCTTGAGTTGAACGTACCTAATCAGTTTCAAACTTCTTACACCATAGGATGTATATAAATTATATATGTATATATATACACTCACACAGAGGCAGATATAGACACAGACATCACAGACATGGACACAGATATGGACACGGGCATGGACACAGGCAGACATAGACATAGATAAAATAGGGGCAGCAGGCAGATTGAATATGAGAGAGGTAGTATTGGAACAGAGATGGAGAAAACCACTTTCTTTTACCTATAAACTTACTGTGTAGCCACCATTGTAAGTTCCTCTTGCCTCAGAGTCCCCTATCTATAAACTGAAGAAGGGCTTACCCCAAAGAGCCTTACCAGCTGCATCTTGCCATAATTTCCACCCCTAAGAACACTCTCTCATCCTATGATTGCCTAGACTCCAACCAGTTCTGAACTTCAGAGTTCATGACACTGAGCTCCCCTTCCCTTTAAGGGCAATTGTGGGTGCTAAATTGGTTAATACAGTCAAACACTTATAATAGTGGCTGGCACATGGCAGTACCTGTACAGCGAATACTGTCATGGTTTCCATCACATACCCTGCTTGTTTCTAAGGACTCAGCAGACGAAATAGTGATGGGGATGGTGAGGATTATTATGATCCAGGCTATTAGGAATGGGACTCAGTTCCCTCCACCAGCCTGATACTGTCTGCCTGGCTTTGCACCTCCCCACCCTGGCTGCTGGGTGTACCTCTTGCATGCGGATGAGAAAGGAGTCGATGAAGTTCCGTGGGGCATTGGGGTCCAGTGTGCGCTGGTTCTGCTCCACCTTCTTAACTATAAAATTCTTCAGCTTCTTCAAGTTTTTAAAGGCCTGTTGCTGTGGTCCAGGCAGGTACTTCATCACTGATGTGAAAAACTCAAACAGCTTTGGGTTGAGGAGAGAATACAACAGAAGAACATCTTTCACTGCTTCAAAACACCAGGTCTTCAGCTGGGGTCGTATGCATGTTTCATATGAGTTATGTGTACAGGCTGTCATCCAAGAATTTTGGTGAGATGAACTGTGGTCCCATCCAACTTTCAGATATTCAAGTGATGGTGATAGGAGCACAAATCTAGGCTTTCTAATACTAGAGTGGGCTTGAGTAAGAAGACATGTAGTTATTGAGCTGTTCAGGTGGTATGCCATGCGGGGATGGTTACCTAGGAGGTTAAGCATTTTGTAGGGCTACTGGAGACAGCTGTGCAGATACTTATGGGGTTTGGATTGCAGACTTCTGGACACATGTTCAGGCATGGACTGTGGCTGTGTTGCAGGTGTAAAAGTGGAGGAGACACTTGTTCAGGGCTTTTGTTTGGATGGGGTGCACAATGGGACCTTTTATGGTGTGTTGCGGGGAGGAAACATGTCTGGGTGATTGAAATCAGTCTGTCTAAATATTTATATGATTTGTGTCTTTCTAGGAGTACCTGTGGTTATGTTCATGTACTCAAGTGTGATGAGGAGGGGTTTACCTAGGTATTCCAGGGGTCTGTTTGCAGATAACTGTGCAGGGGTCAAATGATTGAGTTGGGTTGAGTATTTCAGCACCAGGTCTTTAGGTATTCAGGAGGGACTGAAGCAGTCAGTCACTAGGTGCTAAAATGTTAAGAAGGATTTTAAGAAGAAGCCCTAGGGGCTGGGGATTTGGCTCAGTGGCAAAGCGCCTGCCTGGCAAGTGCAAGGTCGTGAGTTCGGTTCCCAGTACCGGAGAAAAACCAAAAAAAAAAAAAAAAAAAAGAAGAAGCCCTAAGGCAACTGAGAAGAGGGCACTTATCTTGCCTACAGCATCTATGTTTGGACCTGTTTGAAATAGTCAGCTGCCCTATAGACTGTACATTGAGCACATCTTCTGGGTTTGGGGCACTTCTTCAACTTTCAAGAGTGGGGCTCTTTTTGAGGGGGTCATTTATGAAGACTGATCAGAGTTTAAGGCACTGGTGGCCATGTGAGGGTGCAGTGGACAGCTTGAGGTAGTGGAGGGACCCTGGCTAGAGCACATTACCTGCCCAGTGGAAGTAGCTGTGAAGGTGAAGCTTCGGAGCATCATTCCCAAAAGCCACAGAAACTCTTTGTCCTCATAGTCAAAGCGGTCCCCAAAGACAATGGAGCAAATGACATTGGAAACTGCTTGGCTCATGTAGAAGGTGGGATCTATGAAGTTGCCTGAAAGTCAGGGAGAGATCATGATTAGGGAGAATTCGGTTGGGTAGACTAATGCCTATCTGAGAACTTGAGCAGGCCCTGCAATGATGAGCCATCTTCCAGCACCAAACATGTAGCTGAGAGTAAGGGCACACTTCCCCAAGTCTCTATCCCACACCTCAACACATACGTCTCTGTGTTGGATGTTTTCCTTTTCTTCACTGCACACTCCTGGGTCCCCTACTCACCACCTGTGTTCTGTAATGCTTGGACAATAAAGCCCGCCTCCTCCTGTATGCGCTCCTCAATGCCACGCTTGCCCACGCCAAAGTCTCGCAGAGTTGAGATGGAGAAGCGTCTCAGTTGTTTAGCACGCTCCCCATTGCTGAACACGACACCTGGTGAGGTGATCACAGAGGTGCTGAGAGGTGAGAGACGCAGAGACAAGGAGAGGTCATGGAACACCCCTAGGGGGGCTTTGGAGAGTTGGGTTGTTTTATGGAGAGAGACAGAGTGGTTGAAAGATGGCAGCAGGGTCTGAGTGAAAAAACAGATAGCAAGAGGTTGGGAGATTTCCCAAATCAGAGTGGGTGTCAGAGACAGGCAGAAAGTGTGAGAATCAAAAGACACACATCTGGAAGGAAAGGCAAAAATACAAGACAAATATACTGAGGAACAAGGTACACAGGACCAATGGAGGGAAAGCCAGGAAGGTAGGAGAGAGAAGGCTATGGAGGGGATATGAGACTGTTCATATCTGCAGGTAAGTGTAAAAATGATGAAGGAGTTTTAACTAAGCTGTGGGACAGAGAGAAATTGTGAGAAGGAAACAGAATCTTCAGAGAGGAGACACTGTTGTCAGGAGATGAGGCAAGGGGACCTGGAAGTAGACACTGTGTGAGATTTTGTACAAGAAGGAGGAAGGGAGGCAGAAGGAGACAGCACAAACCATGGAAAAGCACAGAAGCTGAAGTTGAGAAAAAGAGCAGATAAAGTTAGAGGAGCAGCACTCCAATAGTGGAATTGGAAGGGGGTCTACTGCATGAAGAGATCTAGTGAAGAGACTGGACACCTGGTGATAGAGAACAGGGAGACAGGTGTAGAGGCAGAGGGAGACTGAATGCAGCACTGGAGCTTTAATCCAGGCAAAGAACGACAGACAGGAGCAGCAGTGAAATCTCAGAGCACAACTGGTGTTTACCAAGGGCCAGGTGAAAACTTTCCACAAACTTGAGCGTGCAGGTGCATCAGCAGGGAAGGCAGAGGAAATGGCACCCACCAACTCTACCTAGTCCAAAGTCCCCACGTTTTAGCTTACTCACCATGGTTCTCAAAGATCCATCCAAAGGTGGCCTGCTCCCCTCGCCCGCTGAAAGCATCAGCCTGGTCCAGAAGAGCCTCCTTCACTGCATCGTAGCCACAAAGAACCACAACTCGGCGAGTGCCCATGTGGATGGTGAACACGGGGCCGTAGCGCTCTCTGATCTGATGGGGGTGGTGGGAGCCATTAGAGGACTCATTCTCAGAACTGGCACATTAGGCAGCAGGCAGGGGCTGAGGTGCATATTTCCCAGGGTTGACAGTCAAGGGGAGAAACATCTCAAGTTGCTTTTTTTTCTCTAGCTGGGGACTGTTGCACATACAAAACTCTGCATTCCAGAACTATTGGTTTCCTAGTCAACTGCTTGTAAACAGCCTCACACAAGCCCTGCAAGTCTGCCAGCCCCGTGCCCGGTGCTTTCCATCCATCCCCTGCCTGTGCACCTTCATGATGGAGGTGTACATCTGTTCTGTATCCAGCTGCAGGTAGTTCCCAATGAAGGGCAGTGGGGTGGGTCCAGGAGGCAGCTTTCCAGAGAGCTTTCTCTGTCTCCAGGTGGACATCAGAAGGATTACACACAGGCAGGCCAAGAGAGCCACCAGAAGCAGCCCTGAGGCCAGCATAATGGCAGCGAGGGTGAGCGTCAGATGATGGTGGCTGGCATGGCTTGCCTTTTTATCTTCTGGGAGAGAATGCTGGCCTTTGATCCTGATTATATTGTTTCTCAACTCAAGTGTGCAATCAGCACGCACCCTACTGAGGTTGCAACAGAAACAGTCAGGAGGGGGAGGGGACCCCAGGGGTGTGTCACACTCAGTGTCCATCAGCCTGAATTTGTAGCATCTGCCCCAGAAATAACACAGGGCTGAGAATGGAAGGAAGGAGGGCAGTAGGTAAACTCTGGAATTTAGGATCTGAAGTATTTGCATACAGTAGCTCTTTAGGTGTGTTTGGGATCTCAAATTCAAATGGGAATTCAGTATGTAGATATGGCGATGAAGGTCAGAATATCAAGTACCGCATTTCACTGGAATGAGAAAGGATCGTGAATGTCTGGCCCGAGACCTTCCAAGGACAAATGTGAGTTTAAGCAAATCATGAGGGGAGATTCTGGGGTTTGGGATTTGAGGATTTTGGAATAAGGGTTCGGAGTTCTGCATGTGCAGTTCCTGGAGGAGAAAGCATGTACTTCATCGTGTACCCTACGGGGTTCCAGGAACTGGAGTCAGGCAGTACCTGAGTCCAGGTGTTTACCCTCTTTATTTTCATCTGCTGCTGTCTTCTTCAAGCCCAGTGCCCCATGGATCCCTCACTGGGAGGCCAGGTTCGATACCAAGGACTGAGAACCTTAATGCCCATGGATGTCTGGTAAGGGCCTTGAAGACCTGAGTCACGTTTCAGTGGAATTGCTGGAGAAGAGCAATGCAGGGATCTATTTGGCCAAGGGCTGGCCAGGTCTTTTGAAATAACAGTGACAACCATGAATACAGTAGAAAATCTCAGCCTTCCTAAAGGTGGTATTTAGGGAAAGTACCACAGGATTCTTCTTCAGACTCTTAGAGAAGGTCAGCAGATTCACTGGATCATTTTAAGTATTAGTGTCATCAGTAGGATGAATGCCTCCAGTGTTAGTGACTTTTCCCATTGCTGAGACAAAATACCTGAGTCCAAAATGAATGATGGAAAGGTCTGCTTAGCTCACAGCTTTTAGAAGTTTCAGTTCATGGATGACTGCCTTGAGGTGACAGCGTCAGGGCAGAGGGGGCTTCACAGAGGGGAAACAGTTCAGGGAAGGCAGAAGGAGGTAACAAAAGCAGCACAGCACAAATGACAAGTGACCACAGGCAGCACTCTCTCTTCCTTATATTCTGTCCAGGATACCTGGACAGATACATCTTAGGGCAGCTATCACTCATTGGACTTGCTGTTGTCCTTTGCCAGGGCTATGACAAAATAACCAGCGAACTAATTTAGCAATCACACACCCTTGATTTCTGCATCACACTCAATCCCAGCAGCACATTCTCTAGATCCAGCCACCTCTGAAAAGCCACACCTATGACCACACAAAGCTTTCCTGGGAGATTTAGACATAAGTCGTAAGCTTCCCAATTTACATATAGGTGTACTGGCAATATACAAGAGAGGGTGCCAGCAGCTGTATAAGTGAGAGGCCCTTAAGTCCAAGGCCTTTATCTCCTGTCTCTCCTACTCTGCAATCTCAGATGCCCCATTTATGAGCCTTCTTTTCCAACATCATGTGAAGGGAGAAATTATGAAGGGAATGTCATAGCAGTACCTGAGGTCCCCCTTAGGAGCAACTCCTGGTTTGTTGAGGACTAATATGAACAGGCAAATGAAATTTTGGCATGAGAGACTCTGGTGAACTCCAATGTTAGGCTCAGAAGTAGACCCTGGAATGGTAGATAGCATGTGTTATTGAACACTGGTGTCTTGAGCTTGGCCTCAACTCCTCTGGCAGGACTTGGATGGGCTGTGGAAAGTTGGTGGCTGGATGAGTGGCCCTACTGCCCTCTCCTCCTAAAAATTCTTTTGAATAATGACACAGTTACACTTTGGTGGGTTTGTTGTATTCCAGGAGCATACAGTCTTCAAAGCTTTGTAGTGATGGGCCTGGTGCATCATCAGTCATGTTGGGGTCACCCAGGTAGTAAGAAAGGAAGCTGGGATTTGAGCTCTTCCCATATTTCTTCATTCCCTATTTCACTCTACCCTAGGTGCCCCATGAGGATCAAGCATGTATTTCCTGAGATTGGCTTCATTATTGGCCATAGATTTACTCTGGCATGTTCTGACATGGGTTTTTGGAAGAGCCAAGGAGGAAGTAGCATTAGTTTGGCATGGAGATTATCTCCATCCATGCACCACTTTTGAAAAGAGCTGGCACTGATCTTGATACCAAGGTAGTATTAGTGCAGTATCTTCTGGTGCTGAGACGGCTCTGAGAATACTTCCTGGTGCTCACTGTTTTACCTTTGGAAAAGCATAGATGAGGCATCATACAGAAGCCAAGGCTGATCTTACCATGTCTGCCATGGTGTAGGTAAGATGTGATATCAGACATGGAGGGTCTTAGATTGGCTCAGCACATCTCAGCAGGACCCAGGTGGGCTGTGGGGATGATTTAGTGGTACAATATCCAGGGTTGGACCCTGCCACAACACCTCCAGCTTGGAGAAATGGAGATGGGCATGTTTAGCATCTCTGGTGCTGACCTCTTCTTGCAAATATTTGAGCCTGTTAGACTCTGGCATCTGTGAAGTGAGACCAAGGGCACAGTGGAGGGAGGGAACTTTGTGGATTTTGGAGGGTGATGAAGCTGGATTAATGCAGGTTTGACAGTTTTTAGTCTTTGAGTCAGCATGATTTTGCATAATTTCTCACTATCCCTGTGAGGCAGAGATCAATGACTTCCCACAAGGCCTGTGAGGTTCAGACAGGGCATTTATTTACCCATGTGTCACACAGATCAATGAAAGACGCTTGGACTCATGATGAAGCACAAGTGGTTGGAGAATTTTTTTGACTGTATATGATGAGTAATCACAAAATAACTGTTTGAATGCAAGCCACAGGTGAAGGGGAATTAATTATGACTTACATTAGTATTTGAAAAGCTCAACCACATCAAAACATTGGAGAATTGTCTTGTGAAACCTCATGTACTTGTGCTCCAGGTTAAACAAGTTTCTAACCTGAACTCTTCATATTCAGCCTGTCACTTGTCCCCTATATTCATTGAACTATCTTGAAATAAATCCCAGAGCTCATATTCTAACTGTACATTTAGCCACTAATATATGAAAGAGAACTCTCTCAAAACTTACTAAATTCCATGGCAAACTAACATTAATATTTTGTTCATTGTTTTGTAAAATTTTAAACAAGAATTCAAATGTTGTATACATGGTTCAGCAAAATAAAAGTCAAAATGATCCTCTCACTTAGAAGTTAAGAACCCTTAATCTGGCTGGGGATATTGCTCAGTGGCATAAGCACTTGCCTGGCAAATGCAAGGTCATGAGCTCGATCTCCAGTACCCCCCCCCCGCAAAAAAAAAGAACTCTTAATCTAAAACAAGCAAAAGAAAAGAGTGCAGGGGCTGGGGATTTAGCTCAGCGGCAAAAGCGCCTGCCTGGCAAGCGCAAGGTCGTGAGTTCGGTTCCCGGTACCGGAGAAAAACCAAAAAAAAAAAAAAAAAAAAAAAGAGTGGAGGCAGAATTGAATACAGAAATATTAGCGAGCATACCAACAAAGCCAACATGGCACTCACACGAATGCAGACACACAGCCCAACAGAATAGAGTCCTTGCGGTTAGGCACAGGGTAGGGCTTCCTCAAGACGAATCCAACTGCACCAAAAATAATGGTAAGTATCAACAAGTGAGCCTATGCCAAATTCCAAAGTTTCTGCACAGCAAGGGAGAACTAATAGAGTTATGTATGGCACTTTCCCTTCTTCTTGACTTCATCATGGCTACACTATCTGCCCTCAAACAGGGAGCCCTACCTAGCACAGTCACGTACCTGGCATGGTGTCAACAGCAGTGACTCAGCTGGGATGAACTCCAGATCTCATCCCAGAGACACTTTCTCCTTTCCCAAGCAGACAGGCTCCTTCCAAGGCCCAGGACGTCAGCAGTACATATTTTCTCCACATCTGGACATGAAACTCATCCCAGTTAGACCAAATACTAGCTCACAAACTAAGGCTCTATACATTTGATTCATACCTTATGAAGTGATTTGTGTGGCTATAGTGGAATGAAACTACAGATCAATTACAAATCAATTTCCTTCCAGTAGGGAAGTTGCAAAATATATAAGTATGTAGAAATTTTTAAAAACATAGTTTAAGCCAGGCATAATGATCCATGCTTATAATCCCAGCACTCTGAGAGGCTGAGGCAGGAGGACTGCAAGTACAAGCCCAGCCTGTACAATTTAACAATTAGGCAGACCCTGTCTTGAAATCACAACAATAATAAAAAACTGAAATGAGATGTAGTTTAAGCAATTTCTTTTAAGGGCAGGTAAAAGTGAAGCTTGTGACACAAGTCATGAAGTTTTAATATATGTATTCCTTGTGAAAATCGTAAGTATTTCTAACTAAAATCACATGTGTCAAACAACTGTGAATGGAAGCAGAAAACACAATGGAAATTATGGGATATGCAACAAAATTAAAGCATCCTCATATTATAGCAGATTAGTCCTCTGTATAGCTGGCAATTTTTTTTTTCTATTCTGTAGGTTGTTTTTTCTTTCTGTTATTTTTTTCTGTGCATTATCATTTGATATAATTCCATTTCTTGATTCCTTGTATCATATCTTATGCAGTTAGTGTTCTGTTCAGGAAATCCTTCCCTATGTCTTCTAGAGTTTTATTATTATTGTTTGTTTGTTTGTTTGTTTGTTTGTTTTGAGACAGGTTCTTGTTATGTAGTACAGACTGGCCTTGAACTCACTGTATAGCCCATGCTAACCTTGAACTCATAAAGATCCTCCTGCCTCAACCACCCGAGTGCTGGGTTTACAGGCCTGTGCTACTACAACTTGATGGAGACCACTACGAAGTGGCTCTGGGCAGGATTTAATATTAACCAATTGGCTGTCTGTTTTTACTTATGAGTTGTCTGAAACTTA